TTAATCTTTGGACACTACCTAAGAAAAGTCTACTGAGCCATCTAGCTTTATGACCAATCTATTTTAAGCGCGTTCGTATTATGGCATGTTGCTCTTCCGCAATTTTTTATAAAGATCATTGGAATATTTTCATTAAAGAAAAGCTCATCAATGAATAGTGGACAAATTTCATTCCTTCGACGAATGGTAAATAAATTTTTTATAGATTAATTAGCGTGATCAGCCAACCCATGACCATGAATCGAAAAGCTGGTCGGACACTTGCCATCAGCTCACGGTGACTTGAAAAGCTTTTCACTTTTTCTCTCAAACCCTAGACAATTATGTACATATATATCATGTATGACTACCAGTGGTAACTGAAAATGAAGGCTTCATCTGCAATAAAAGTGCTCGATGGTAAGACCAGAGCGGTGAATAAAGATGCCCTTTTATACGGGCTACAAAAATTCCAGACTCAGAGGCCACAGTCTGTACAGAACTGTGCCGCTCGTCTTGTTAAGCGTTGTCCTAAATTTGGTCATACTTCATCATTACTTTCGGAGCTCCATTGGTTACCAGTAGAGCATCGCATTGCTTTTAAGATCTTGTTGTTGGTTTTTAAATCTCTGAATAATTTAGCCTCTTCTTATCTTAGTGATTTGCTAACACCGTATATCCCCAGTCGTAGTCTCAGGTCATCCAAACAGTTTCTTCTGGTTGTCCCAAGGTCTATTCAAAAGTCTTATGGTAACAGAGCTTTCGCGGGGGCTGCCCCACGGTTGTGGAATGCTCTGCCCATTCATATGAGACAGCCTGGTTTTTCTTTGGCAGCTTTTAAGAAATTTCTAAAGACTTACCTTTTTAAAAAAGCTTTCGTTTCATTATTTTGTCTTTAATCAATTGTAGTCATTATCTTTTTAACTCAGTATTATAAAGCGCCACATAGCAGTCGGATATGACGCTATATAAGTCCATTATTTATTTAATATTTTATAAAGGTGAGTTTCTGGAGTCGGACTAGTTCAAAAACATTTAATTAAATGTTTTTGAACTAGTCCGACCCCAGAAACTCATCTTTATATATTATGTATATATATTTTAAAGGAGCCAATCATTTTGTTAAAGGATTGGCTTTCACCAATCATAGAAAGTGTAACATCACATTATTTGCTCCACAAACGTAAACTTGGCCAATACGTTTTCGTTTCAGGCCCAGGAAAAGGAAAGTGATGACTGATGCCTATAGAATGAACGCTTTTGAAAAATCACGCGATAACATTTCATTCGATGTTTATTACTCTGCCCTAAAGTCCGGTTGTTCTTCCGCACGCTTTTATGAGACGCATTTCTCTTTAATTATTAATGTTGATGACAGTCAAGATTTTTACATTGTTGCAGTTTGAAAAGTGTACGTTGAAATAATGAGAAAAAATTGATCCATTTTTTGCATGAGGTTGACACAACGCACGTGCGGGATTTATTGTCAAAGTTTTCAATGGGAAATTAGAAACGCCCCCTCTTGAATGGAGTAAAGTGGAAAAAAAGGCATATTAGAGATGCAACGTACATTGACTTGAAACTTAAATGATTAATAAAAGGGGAATTCATATCGTTGTTGATGAGAAATCAATATGTAAACAAACGACAACTTCGTGTGTTCCCAAGATTGACAAGGGCGATCCACACTAGTTTAGAAGACATCGACTATTTCTGAGAGGTCATTTCTCGCATACTGTCGCAGATGTAATCTGTAATTCAGCTTGATTTTTCTGTATGTGTCGTACTCTTGACTTCAAAGACATCTCTTCAATAAACAACTTACCCTTGTGGAAGAAATAACCAGTAAAGGGCACAGCCGAAGAAATAGAAGACAAATAAGCTAAGAGGTGTTTCAAAGTATGCATTTTGATATTCTCAAGGTAACATTATAGTATTCATTATCTTGTTATTATTATGTAAGTCATTCTAGGTTTTGGAAACTTAATTTGGATTTGGCTACCAATACTGTTAAAATTAAGTTAAAGCTGTCGTCGGCAATGCCCTCAGTTTATTTCAATTTTAAGCCTTCAATAGGATAAATGGTGATTAAAAGTAATTATTCATCACACACAAGAATTTTGTGGTAATGTCAATGGCTCAAAGACTCAAGTAGGATCGATTTCAATCCCCCCCACCCCACCCGCTATTTCCATCTCCTCCCCATTCAAGTTTTACTTTACATCAATGAACCCTTTACTTTTGCAAATCACTATTTATCGTATCCGTCAATACCTGTCTTACAATCATTTTAAAGGGGAGTAAAACAAAACAAAGCATCGTCATTAATGGCGAGTGGGTATCATTTCTTAGAAGAGAGAAAAGTTTGTAAGCAAGCTAGGTCATCCTCAAATATCATCTGTTCATTCTTCCAAACAATCAAAGAAAGCTTAGTACATATAAAGGGAAATCTCAGCGTGAGTTACAGCCAGGATAGACTTGCTGTCTATCAGCGTAAAAAGGTTAGACCACTTTACAAATTATCTGAAAAGGGTAAGAAAAAAGGCTTTAGCTGGAATCATCAACGATCGTCTCCCTTGAAACGTTCTGAAAATTGATACAACGGAATAGAGTTAACCTTTGGGGCAAGTATCTGGCACCCTCATCAATGCAAGGGGCGAGAATAGAGGGGGGAAAGGGGATTGCTTAGTATCTGGCACCCTCATCAATGCAAGGGGCGAGAATAGAGGGGGGCAAGGGGATTGCTTAGTTGAACAGAACCCCACACGCTTACACTCTAACACTCTATCGAGCCATCAAGTCCCCGCACATGGGGTTTTCCCATGGCGTCAGTGATATGTGTAGATACAATGAAAATGGTAGACTAAAAGTTAGGAAAAGGCTTCTGATTTGATATAGATTAACAAAAAAATAGTACAGTAAAGAAAATTTTAAAAAAACAATAAAAATAAAAACTTACACAAATTAAACGCACACAAAGCTTACCCTTGTCCAAGTTTGAACCTCCGAAATTCTAGTCTAAAATAACGGTCCTCTGCAAGAAAGCCAAGATCCCACGTTCTGGTAGTGTTAGGTGGATAGTTGCCAGTTTGGCCCTTCAAATAAACATGTATAGAAGTATTTAATTGTGAGATTTTTTCACTGTCTCTGATGTTTTAACACTAATAATATACATGAAAAAATTCTCAGTTCTGATTGGTTAAGATGTATGCAGTTTTCAGTTAATTCAGTGCAGAAGAGAGTTAATTCAGTACAAAGAAAGAAACGAACCGAACATTCTGATTGGTCAGAATGATTGGTCAATGTCAATGTCAAGGTCAATGTCAAGGTCAATGTCAAGGTCAATGTCAAGGTCAATGTCAAGGTCAATGTCAAGGTCAATGTCAAGGTCAATGTCAAGGTCAATGTCA